GCAATTTGCTAGTTTAATGACTAAACATAGTCTGGTGTATGTGTGTGGTCTTTCTCATCTTCTAGTATCTTTCAAGATGAATCCTAAGAACTTGGACATTCACAATAAAGGAATTTTCCTTTTTTTTAAAAAAAAAAAAAAGCAGTGAGGAGCCTGCTTCTCCCTCTCCCTCTCCTCCTCACTCGTGTTTTCTCATATCCCTCTTTCAAATACAGCAGAGCAGAGCCAGAGTTCTTGATGGCCTCATTGAACAGCTTAAACTATACCATCTTCTTCTGAACTTGCTATGAAAGTATAAACTTCTATTAATTAAGCAGTTGTGGGGCCCCGGGTGGCTCGGTGGCTTAGCGCCTGCCTTCGGCCCAGGGTGTGATCCTAGAGTTCCAGGATCAAGTCCCACATTGGGCTCCCTGCATGGAGCCTGCTTCTCCCTCTGCCTGTGTCTCTGCCTCTCTCTCTCTGTGTCTCTCATAAATAAATAAATAAAATCTTTTAAAAAAAAAAAAGCAGTTACTGCAGCTAGACACATTCCTAAGCCATATAGAGTATAATGGAATTGAGAGTGCATTGGTTGGAGGATGTGGCTGAAGGCCCAACTGTTGTACATTAGCTGCTGTAACCAGGGAAGGCCTCTTTGAGAATGATCATTGAACAGAGGTCCAAATGATGAGAGGGAGCCAACAAGATATGAAATGTATACTTGAGTTTGGGGTAGCACCAGAGCCGCCCCTTGAACAAAGATTTTGAAATGAAGAAACAGTTGGGGAAATCGTGTTCCGTTTTGGATTTCTAAGCTGTGGGTACCGTATTCACTGGAGAGCTAAAGGAACTGTGAGTGATCAGATCAGTTTGGGGCCTTGGGAGATTATGATCTGCTTGGGGCAGAGTTCGGGAGAATGCCGACAAAAACAGTGTATGATCCATGAGTCACCCCTGACACATTGCCTGTTACTCCTGGAGGAATGTGTGGGGAAGAGGAAGGGAAGTAAACTTGACAGGGACTACTGACCAGTCCACACACCCTTTGAATCTGGATGGAGTTTTTTTCCCTCATATTCTCTTTTGGGAACTGGGTCATGGTCATGGGACTTTGAGACCTGCTTAGCCCTGTTGTTGTTGAAAAGCAATATATGGATTCTTCCAAGCCTGTGCTTTGATTGGCAGAAAAATAACTAGAACAACAACTACTAACATTTCACTGAGTGCTTAACATGGGCCAGGCATTGTGCTAAAAATATTACAAACATTTTACTTAGCCCTGTGTCAATCCCATGAAGCCCCGTATAACTGAAGAGAAAGCTGAGACCTTAGGAAAGAAAAAGAGTAATTTTTTTGAGATCATATAGCTAGTAGGTTCCAGAGCAGGCCTTTTAACTAGCTTGTCATAAGGACTTCTGAGACAAGGTTCCCTAGAATGTGCTAGGTTTGGAACCCCTTAAAAAATGAATTAAAAAAATTTTTAAAAAGATTTTATTTATTTATTCATGATAGACACAGAGAGAGAGAGAGAAAGAGAGAGAGAGAGCCAGAGGCACAGGCAGAGGGAGAAGCAGACTCCATGCAGGGAGCCCGATGTGGGACTTGATCCTGATGTGGGGCCCTGACCCAAAGGCACACTCAGCCACTGAGCGAGCCACCCAGGTGTCCCATGACTGTATTTTTAAGAAAGATTCTTTGAAAGAGACATTAACTGAAGCGTATACTGATTTCCTTTCTTAGCAGTGGTTTAGGTTAATAACTTCCTGACTACAGTAGGCCTCCATTCCAACCTAACAGTATTTCGTGGGCTGAATTTGTTTTTTTTCAGTGAGACATAATTGAGATAACAGTCAATAATCTGGCGATGCAGCCTCCTTGCACCTGCCTCTGTGGAAAGACTCATGTCTCCTGGCAAATTAAAGAATAAAGAATTTGAGTTGAACAGACAGTTCCTGACTGTGCCCTGGGGTTGCATCCCTCAGAGAATATGTCTCTTTCACTTTCTACTGTATCTACTCATCCAAGAAGCCAGTGGTGAGGCCCACAGTTTTGGCCTATGTTCAGTGTTGGACTTGTCAATTTCTACAACAGTTTTTTTAAAAAACAGACTTTTGGGATGCCTGGGCTCAGCGGTTGAGCTCAGGGTGTGATCCCGAGGTCCAGGATTGAGTCCCACATTGGGCTCTTTGCAGGGAGCCTGCTTCTCCCTCTGCCTTTGTCTCTGCCTCTCTCCCTTTGTGTCTCTCATGAATAAATAAAATCTTAAAAAAGAAAAAAGAGTTTTAAAGATTTATTTCTTTCAGAGAGAGGGAGAGAGAGAGCTCACACATGCATGCATGCACTGTAAGCAGAAGCTTGTGTAAGCAGGAGGGACAATGGGAGAGAGAATCCTCAAGTTGACTCCCCACTGAGCGTTGAGCTTGATGCAGGGCTCTATCCCAGGACTCTGAGATCATGACCTGAGCTGAAATAAAAAGTTGGACACTTAATCAACTGAGTTGCCCAGGTGCCCCCAAAATAGACTAAAGAGTTGTTTTAGGTTCCCAGCAAAATTGGACAGAAGCTATAGAGATTTCCTATAGACCTCCCTGCCACCCCACCACTACCACGCGCCCCCCATGCACAGCCTCCCCATAATCAACATCTCCCAGCACAGTGGTATAGTAGTTTAAAATGATGAATTTGCGTTGGCACATAATTATCACCTAGAATTCTAGGACCATCTTTCTTTCCTTTTTTTTTTTTTTAAGGACTATCTTTCACTGAGGTTGCGCATGGCTTCTTATTTCCTTTAGATTTTTGCTCAAATGTTACATTCTCTGACTACCTTATATAAAATTGCAACCCCTTACCTTGGTTCCTTGCTGGCACTCTACACTTTTGCTTTGTTTTTCTCCATAGCACCTTTTAATATCTAATATCTATGTATTTTTCTTATGTTTCTTCTTTGCTAAACTATAGTTTGCAAGCTTGCTGACGTCAAGTCTGTTTTCTTCACTTTTATTCTCTGTAGATGTTCAGGAAATATTCGCTGGCTTAGTGACTAAATGAACAAATAGGGGAACTCAGGACCATTTTCTTTTATTTTTTATTTTTTTATTTTTATTTTTTTCAGGACCATTTTCTTTCTTTTTTTTTTTTTTAAGATTTTTATTTATTTATTCATGAGAGAGAGAGAGAGAGAGAGAGAGAGGCAGAGACACCGGCAGAGGGAGAAGCAGGCTCCATGCAGGGAGCCCGACGTGGGACTCGATCCTGGGTCTCCAGGATCAGGCCCTGGGCTGAAGGCGTCGCTTAAACCACTGAGCCACCTGGGCTGCCCTCAGGACCGTTTTCAAGGTTGGTGTTCCTCTGCAACCCAACCTACCTCCTCCCTCACTGCCCTCTTGCTCTCCAAGACCTAGGGTGGGTACTGTTGGGTTGCAAAGCAAGTGGACATCTTGATTGGGATGATTATGTGGGAGACTGCCATCACTGACTCTTCAGAAGCCTTTACAGTGTTATGAAGAATAATGCTGAGATGACACACTATTTTATTGACCACCCACTGTGTGCCAGCCCTAGTGAGAGAAAAGAGAGCAGCAAAAGGGGAGAAGGGACAGTATTGCTGGGAAAAGAACGGGGGCAAAGAAGATGGAGAAAGAGGGGAAAGGGAAATAAAATTGTGTTGGATAGAGGGAAAGTGAGAGAGAGTAAGCGGCAGTGGTTGTGGGGTGGGACGGGAATGATTGGGGTTTGAGTTGGAGAATTTAGGAAACCTGCCTAATTAGGCTCCTGTAGGCCTGGCTTACTATACTGGTTGGAGGAGTGTGGGACTCCAAAGCATATTTGATCCTGAAAAACTGAGAGCACTACCAGTGTGAGTTTAACTAAATATTTGTAGCATCCATGTTGCATTCTTTTTTGGGGGAGGGAGATAGAGAGACAGTGCTATCTACTGGTATGGAAACATTGTGGTCAGCAATTTTAATTTCATGGAGGAGGAGGAGATAAAAGACCTTATCAGGTGTCACAGTAGAGCTGGACTATATTCAGAGTTTCAGCCTTAGCCGGAAGTGTACAGTTAGCCTCTTAAACATAAGAGGCAAGCTAAAACTGTTACAAATATAGTGTGTTTTCATTTGTATCACAGTTTGTTAAATCTGTACTAAGATCATTTGTAATAAATCCTTTGCCTTAAGGATGTTTGGAAAAATTGAAACTATTTAAAGCAAGTTAGGATAAGTGCAGTGAGTTCACACTTACATACAAGAAAGGGAAAAGGAAACAGCTGTTGATAGTGTTAACCATAGAGAGAGGTTGTTTCTAGAGATACGCAGGGCAGTACCAAGGCCGTCTGCCCAGGTTGTATAACTTTTTCTTTTTTCTTTCTTTCTTTTTTTTTTGACCAGTACTCTTGAGAGCTCAAAAAATGGCTTTGGGGATTAAGCGCCTTTTAGGAGTGTACGTAAATTCTTACAATTGGCTCTTACTTGGCCTACTTTTTTATTAAGTATTCTTATGTAAAGATCAACTGGCTGATTTCCTTTTTTGTGCGTACTCTTACCTTTCTTCCTTTTGATTCTAGACGGAGTGCTGATACAACCTGTTACCTCAGGCAAATTACTTAAAACCAAGTTTCAGTTTTCCTAATTATAAAATGAGTTATTAGTATGTGGGGTATTAGCATCTACCTTGCAAGTTTATTTTAATGTTTACTTGAAATGCCATCTGAAAAGGGCTCGACACAATGCTTGGCGAGAATAGACACTAGGGAAATGTTATTTCCTTTCTTCCTTCTCATAATAAACTTGTATGCATTGCTTCTTGCTGAAATGGCTTTGAGTAGAGCCTCAAAAGTACATTTGGCCTTTGATATATGATAACCAGTTTCTTCATGCAGTTTGAGAGTCAATGAAGAATCACTGTCTCTAATTCAAATGAAAACATTGAATTCTGTTTCCTAAGAATTTTTTGCCAGTCATGTGTACCTATGAGTTTACTTATGGGCTAATATTCACAGGTTGCTCTTTCTTTTTCAGATGAACAGACTCGTTATTTTCCACTGACTGGCAGCAATGGCGTTTACTGAAAGAGTCAAGAGCAGCAGTAGCAGCAGGTAATGGTGAAATCCAGGATTCAAAGATGCAATGATACTTGAGTTTATGATGTATTTTTCAAAGAATAAGCTTGATCCTTTTTCATTTTTATGATACAGGAAGGTATGTGAAAATCTAGTTTTCTCTACACAAACCTGTTAGACCGGCTACATATTTTCTTTATTTTTTTTTAATTTTTATTTATTTATGATAGTGACAGAGAGAGAGAGAGAGAGAGGCAGAGACATAGGCAGAGGGAGAAGCAGGCTCCATGCACCGGGAACCCGATATGGGATTCGATCCCGGGTCTCCAGGATCGCGCCCTGAGCCAAAGGCAGGCGCCAAACCGCTGCGCCACCCAGGGATCCCCTACATATTTTCTTTAGATCTAGTGTTTTCGGAACCTCATACCTCATTTCTTTAACATATAGGTGTTATGGTAGATCAGGATCCCAATTCTGTGTGCAGGATATTGGTCTGTATTACACTGTTTTGGAGAAAGGAGCACCTGTTCGTGAAATCTGCCCTATCATGAGAACTCTGAAGGATGGAATTCTGTCAGTTACAGTTTATTTATCTGTTTATGTAAATATTTTATTTATTTTCATGAGAGACACAGAGAGAGAGAGAGAGAGAGAGAGAGAGAGAGGCAGAGACCCAGTCAGAGGGAGAAGCAGGCTCCATGCAGGGAGCCCGACGTGGGACTCCATCCCGGGTCTCCAGGATCACGCCCTGGGCTGAAGGTGGTGCTAAACCGCTGAGCCACCCGGGCTTTCCTGTCAGTTACATCTTACTACTTTCAGATCTCTCCCTCCAAGTGTGCACATATAGTTAACTTCCTTCTTGCATATACTGAATGATCAGGATTGGTTGAGGGGAGCATATTAATATTCTGAAGCAGTTTTTAAGAGTAACTCATTTGATATCACTGATCAATTTTTATTTATACTGTTAGATATTCAAAAACAGATTTAAGAATGAAAGATAGAGACTCAGACTTACTCAGCTAACATTTATTAACAGATACTCGTGCCTGTAATTCTGGAAGGTCCTGCCTGGATGCTTTCCTACTTCCCTTTCTGGTTCATTTAGGAAACTCTTCCTCTGTTCCAGGTGGCCCTGGTAGTACTGTTGTTAGACTTGGTGCACTCTCCTCCCCCACAGAGGAAGGCATGTGACCCAGGCTACAGCAATTCACATTCTGCTAGAACGAGGGGAAGCTGTTGTCGTCTGTCTTTAGGCTTGTTCATTATGTTCAGTTACACATAAGTTTTAAATTTTTATGCAGTTAAATGTCTTGTCCTTTATGGATTCTGGTTTTGATTGTGCAGAAAGGTCTTCCCAACTTCAAGATTGTGAAAATAATGTCATGTGTTCTTTGCTGGCACTTGAATGGTTTCATTTTTTGCATTTAAATCAGAACTTGTGAGCTGGTGGCCTATGGGACAGATCTGGTCAACAGATGGGTTTTGTTTGGCCCCTCACAGTGTTCTAAAAAAATACATATATATCTGCCAATGTTTTTTTACATAACAATCTAGACTTCCATCTTCTCTTAAAAAATTGAAGATTTAACAACCTCGGCCTTGCATTGCTGTATAGCAGCACTCAGATACAATCTAATAGCCACTGTTCTTTGCAACAAGGCATGAGGTTAGATGAGTTCTCATTCAGAACTTACCAAATGGTATGCCATCAGTATTTTTCAGGTGTGCCAACATGTTCATCCTCCCAGCCTGTGGGTCAGCCGGAACTCCAGAACTCCCCCTTGTTTCCTCTTGCAGACATCTGCTTTGTCAGGTTGCCCCAGAAAGACTTGCTGTTAAAAAAAAAAAAAAAAAGATCGGAAGAGCACAGGTACTTTCTAGTTCACTACAGTTTCCACAGTTGGACTCACACGTTCACTTCACTGCTTAGCCCTCTTAACTTGTGACCCATTTCAGATTTTGGATGTTTAATTTTTGAATTTTTTAATTAAAAATATTTATTTATTCATGGGAGACACAGAGAGGCAGAGACAGGCAGAGGGAGAAGCAGGATCCCCACGGGAATCTGCTCTGCTACTCAGTCCCAGGACTCTGGGATCACACCCTGAGATGAAAGCAGATGCTCATCACTGAGCCACCCAGGCATCCCTAATTAATTAATTTTTAAAGTAGGTTCTATATCCAATGTGGGACTTGAGCTCACAACCTTGAAATCAGGAGTCAGTCATATGCTCTACTGACTGAGCCAGCCAGGTCCCAGATCTTGGACCTTTTAGTATTTTATTTAAAAAAGTATTTATTGATTCATGAGAGATGCAGAGACACAGGCAGAGGGAGAAGCAGGCTCCCTTAGGGAGCCTGATGTGGGACTTGATCCCTGGCCCCAGGATCACGCCCTGAACTGAAGGCAGATGTTCAACCGCTGAGCCACCCAGGCGTCCCTAGTTTTTATTTTTAAAATTTAATTTTTTTAAGTAAATTTTTTTTAATTTTTTAATTTTTTTTTTTATTTATTTATGATAGTCACAGAGAGATAGAGAGAGGCAGAGACACAGGCAGAGGGAGAAGCAGGCTCCATGCACCGGGAGCCCGACGTGGGATTTGATCCCGGGTCTCCAGGATCGCGCCCTGGGCCAAAGGCAAGCGCCAAACCACTGCGCCACCCAGGGATCGCAAAATTTAATTTTTTTAAAGATCTTTTTGCGTGAGAGAGTTTGAGTGCATGAGCAGGGGAGGGTCAGAGAGAGAGAGAGAGAGAGGATGAATCGCAGGCAGACTACCTGCTGAGCCGGGAGTCCAATGCAAGGTTCCATCTCAAGACCCTTGAGATCATGACCTGAGACGAAATCAAGAGTCAGATGCTTAACTGACTGAGCCACCCGGGCACTTCAGGAGCCATTTTTTTTTTTTTTTAAAGCAAAAGGCTAGCCAGTTGTTTCAACATAATTTATTGCATCATCTCTTTTCTCCATTGATTTGAGTGCTGCATCTAAATTCCATCACCATCTTGAGTATTTGGTTGGACTCTTTTGTTCCATTGATTGATTGTTCTGGCAATGGTGCCATACTATGTCACTGTATTTTCATAGATCTTAATATTCAGGCACTTCTTTGTCACTACTTTTCATTTTTAGAATTTTGGTAGTTATTCACATCTGATTACATTTCCATGTATCCTCTGAAGTCATTAGTCATTTTCTAGAAAAATGTTGACATCTTGATTCAGGTCTTTTTGAATTTTATCAATTAAGGGGGCAACTGGGTGACTCAGTGGTTGAGCATCTGCCTTTGGCTCAGGTCATGGTCCTGGGGTCCTGGAATCGAGTCCTGCATCAGGCTCCCACAGGGAGCCTGCTTCTTCCTCTGCCTGTTTCTGCCTCTCTATGTGTCTCTCATGAATAAACAAATTAAAAAAAAAAGAATTTCATCAATTAGGGAGAGCTTAATTCTATAGCATATTAATAAACCTGAGTCTCCCTACAAAGGAATCTAAGTATCAGAATGGTGAAATTTTAAGAGGATGAAGAAATTTTAAATTTAAATTGTAAGATTTTTGCAGGTGTCTGATTTTTCAAAAATTTCTAGTTTTTGGCTGCCTGGGTGGTTCCATGGTTGGGCATTTGCCTTTGATTCAGGAAGTGATCCCGGGTCCTGGGATCTAGTCTCACATTGGGCTCCCTTCAGGGAGCCTACTTCTCCCTCTGCCTGTGTCTCTGCCTTTCTGTCTCTCTGTGTCTCTCATGAATAAATAAATAAAATTTATTTTTTTTAATTTTTTTTTTTATTTATTCATGAGAGACACAGAGAGATAGAGAGAGGCAGAGACACAGGCAGAGGGAGAAGTAGGCTCCATGCAAGGGAGCCTGACATGGGACTTGCTTCCGGAACTCCAGGATCACACCCTGGGCCAAAGGCAGTGCTAAACTGCTGAGCCACCGGGCTGCCCAATAAATAGAATCTTTAAAAAAAAAAAATTTCTAGTTGTTGACATTGCCTCCCATATAATTTCTAGTAGAATATTGTTATAATAGTTACAGTATTTTCAGTGTTAAGGTTGAAACTATTTTGTATTCTATTACTTACATATGTTGCTATTGTTAATAATTACTAGAATGGGTGAATGGCATTTGTAGTAACATTCTGGCAATTATAGAACTGGTTTTATTGTTTGTTACATTTTTTCAACTCATAACCTTCCTGATATGCGCCTTTTAGTTTTAATACCCAATACAAGTAATAAAGTTAGAGGAAATCCTGAATGGAACTCAATTTTTAATATATGTCAGTAAGCTCACTGTTTAAATGTTTAATCATGACAGGTTAGTCTTTTAGTAGTCCAGAAAAAAAATCCCATCAAATTCACGTGGAACTGGTCCAGGGCTAGCACATACTTGAAAGGAAACAGATGTGTATTGAGTATGCAACTCTAATTGTTCAAACTAAACAGAAGTCTGAGTGTGAGCCCATACTTTGCTCAAGGCTATCAAAAGTCATAAGCGTGGATAAAATATTAATGTAATGTGTAAAGACAATATTTGTTTTAGTTCTTATAAATAATGGACTTACTCTCTGATTTGCAGATTTATCAGCATTAGACACTAGTGAATCGCAGCTCACTTATATTACCCCTACCCTCATTTTCCTCCCGTTCTTTTTGTTCTTTCTAAAAATTGTTACTGGAGTATAACAAACTGAATAGAGCAGACATTATTAGTACAGTTCAGTGCGTTTTCACAAAGTGAACACTCTTGTGTAACCCATCAAGTGACAATACCGGCTCTCCAGAAGCCTCCTCTTGTCCCCTTTCAGCTATTAACTCCCTCAAAGGCTGCCACTATTCTGACTTCAGACATGAATTTGCTTTGCTAGCTTTTGAATTTTATTTGCATTTAACCATATAGTATGATTTTTAATGTTTTCTATTCAGTTTTGATGTTTGTGATTATTATTCTATTTCATAAATTTAAATATGAACTTTTAATTGTCTCAGTAATAATGTATTTTATATTAAAATACTATGTTAGAGGGAGAGG